ACAAGCTATTGATTTTTTTTATTAATATGCATTAATGAACCTTTTGTATTCTCCTTCATTTTAAAACCATTGCAAGTTGCTAACTTTAATTATTATTAAAGTTATATTTACTCCCTAACGTTTCATTCTTTTCATTGGAGTTTTATGTATATATGTATACATGCTTGCATGGAGCTAGGAGGAGGGTGGAATGAGCTTTAGCTTCAAAATTCATTTGTTCTTGTTTTTAAAGATAAAGAAAATATTACTCTTCATATTTAGTAGCTAGCAAATAATATTTTCTGCCCTATTACTCTGCTGGATTAATATATTTATTCTACTCTCGTTGTTCTGTTACCGGCTTACGCCGAAGAGCTCGTTTTATCTTGGGGAAATGTTTTCGCTAGTTGGAAATACTTTCTTGAGGACAACGTTTACGCGACTCGAGCTATATTATTTTCTAACGCATTTTTTGCAGGTTTATCCGGCCAATTTCCTCCAACAATAGGATGGAGCATGAGAAATGAAAGAGACAATATTAGGAAAATTGGGTTATGGGTAGGGGTAGTAATCAAGCAAACTGACTCACATGTTACTTGAGATCGACTCGATTCTTATTGAACCTAGCTCAACTCTATTGAAACTTGACTCGCAATAGAGCTCGACTCGAACCAAATCATGTCAAGTTGAACGTATATACAAACTCGAATCAAAGCGCTCACAAGCTACTCTTGTATGAGTTACTATCGATTTTTTAAATTCATACATATGACATTACATATGACATTACATTATATATCCATAGTATGGATCCATGAATAATTTAACAATTATACTTATTTTCTACTAAAAATATACTAGATATTCACATAATGCTTAACATTTTAGGCAATTCTCTAAAAGTTTCAAATGGAATTGAGGCATTTTCAGGTCACATTCAAACAGATTCAAGTATGACTTGTTGAACTAGTTCATCTTAGGTTTAAGTAAATCATAGACGGCAAAGAAAGTCCTAATATCTAAGAGACGAAGAATTTTAAAATGGTGTTTTTAATTTATGTTTAAAAAATTACTAATAAATGCACATATGTGTTTAAAGTATAACAAATCAAACTCTTTGTTTAACAATGTACTGTGTTAAAAAAACAATATACTACGCAAAAGCGTGAAAATTTCAGAGAATCAATTCGGTTTTATGCTTGATCTCAATTGAGACCATTCATCTTCTTTTGCAACTTGTGGAGAAGTTTAGAGACACTAAATAGAATCAACATTTGATGTTCATTGACTTAGAAAAAATTAAACATATGCTCTATCTCTCCTAAATTGAGTTGCAAATTTGACTTTTTTGGATATTAATTAGGATATCAATTCTTAGTTAAATTTTAATTTGGATTTTGAAACTTTATAGAAATTTTAATGTAGTTTCTGAATATGTAAATTTTAATTATTAAAATAGAATTAATTATCAATAAGGAGGATTTAACTTTAACATTGGTTGACCAAAAAATGTTGACTTTACAAAATAATTTGGAACAGAGGTAGTAATAGAATATCACAAGTTCTTTGATGGGCCTTAACTAGTAAAAGCATATCACCTTATCATTAAATTGCTAATACATCGTGAATTTATCAACAAGTCTTTATGTACACCTTATCATTTGGGTGTAAACGTCAACATGTGTGTGATTGTGTGCGCACACAAACGATTTACAACTTTTATTTTTGTGTGTTTTTAGACAATTACGTAGTACTCCCTCCGTCCCATAAAATTCTTTCAATTTTCCTTTTTGATCCGTCCCAAAAAATTCTTCCCACTTACCATTTTTGGACAATTTGTGTTACTCACTTTCATTTTACCTTTTTCTTACACAACTACAACCATACATTTCCACTTTATTCTTGCTTCCTTAATTTGCGTGCCAAGTCAATGTGGGAAGAATTTTTTGGGATGGAGGGAGTATTATAGACGCGCGCACAAAAACAAAATTGAGACGTGTACAAAAGCTTTTGGAAAAGGAATTTTTTAAAATGTATTAACTTCGTATAAAAGCATCTTAAAAAATACGAAGTACTTCGGGGGTTGTATGTTGTTCGTATATACACAGTTTATCGAAGAATGGGAGTAATACTTAGCTGAAGTCACCATCGTATCTCCTTCACTTCTCTGCCTATAAATACGACTCCGTTTATGCGTTTGGACTCTCTCCGTCGCTCAGGTGCTGCTTCCAGGACATTCCTATTTCAGAAGCTATTTCTAATCGGGAGTGGAGGTGTAATGTGCATTGCTTTGTTGTTTTGTTTGGACTGTTTTTGATGCAATTTTGACTGTTTAAACTGTGTTACGCTGTGTGTAGTATGTATGGATATGTATTTGTGGTTTCGATTTCTGAGTTATTCAGTTTCTCTATGATGATAATGATTTTGTTCAATTACTCTATTACGATAATGATTTTGTTCAGTTTCTCTATTACGATCATGATTTTCCATGCCTGTTATTGCATAAACTTCTAGAACACCCTGACCTATTGTAAATTATGGAGCTCGTCTACCAAGTTTTTCAGTTCTGAGAGGTCATAGACAAGCCTCATGTGTGTTGCCGGTGGGTGCTTTTATGCTCTACTGGCCGGCCGGCCGACTTGCCGCTCAGAAGCCTTCCACGGCTTGCAGCTCGCTTGCTTAATTTGTTGTAGTTATATTGGGCACATTTTAGCCAATTTCGATCATCATCCGTTTTAGCTTTATTCTACTACACAGTGTACTTTTTCGGTTTTGGTGATTGATTGATGATGAAATTAACAAATAATAAATTCTTTGAATAAAGTTAACCCATCTTAGATAAATAGTATCGGGTTTTCCTGGAATCAAAATAAGATACATAGTATATGTTTTTAATTGCACGAATTTGAGTCCCAAATCAGACCATTATGCATTCTGTCTACTACACTTTCTAGGTGCTCTCTATATTTCCTTGGAGGCTTTTTCTACTACCTAGCCATTCAATTTATATGTCCAAGCTTCAACATATAGGTTTAAGAAAGTCAAACGCTGCAAAACGTTTTATGGAGCTTGTGGTAACTTGACATCATCGCAAGGTACTTGACATCATCCCTTTTTATGGAGCTTGTGCTACTTTGTATAACACTAGAAGCTATGGTATTTGACATCATCCCTTTTAATTCATTTCTTAGCTCTTTTTCTGTCAAGCCATTCTTATACTATCTCAAGGCGTACGCGTCTCGATGGCTCATCTGCTTGTGGTACGTTAAAACCTGTTAAAAGTATTTGTCTCACACCGGAAAGCTATAAACCAATAAAACACTATATAAGGCTTTGGGCTACTCCTCCTATCAGGTTGATCTTTTTGGATGGAATCTCAGGTCTTAACATGGTATCAGAGCGAATTTCGGTTGTGGTTTGACTGCTTGTTGAGAACCCATGATTACGGGTAGCTTGTTAAGGGTCTGTTTGGCCCATTTATACATCTCGATATTGTTCACCCCGGTTCGGGCTGAGGGGACGTGTTAAAGTATTTGTCCCGCACCAGAAAACTATAAAACAATAAAACAATATATAAGGATTTGGGCTACTCCTCCTATAAGGTTGACCTTTTAGGATGAAACATCGGGTCTTAACATGGTATCAGAGCCAATTCCGGTTGTGGTTTGACTGCTTGTTCAGCACTGATGATTACAGATAGCTTGTTAAGGGCCCATTTGGCCCATTTATACACCCCGATATTGTCCAGCTCGGTTCAGACTGAGGGGGCGTATTAAAAGTCTTTGTCCCACACCGGAAAGCTATAAAACAATAAAACACTATATAAGGCTTTGGGCTACTCCTCCTATCAGGTTAACCTTTTATGATGGAACCCCATGTCTTAACAAAACCTATACTCATTTCTCAGTGCCATTTTAAATGTAGTATAAGGTGTAGTAAGAATAATACTCCGTATAGTAATAGCATATCAATTTGATTCTTTTAAATATATATATATATATATATATATATATATATATATATATATATTCAACTTTTCGCTACTTCCTTAAAAATGATAAATGTTCTGAACACAACTAACCCACTCACCAATTTCTTTTTGCAAATTCACCCATTATTTATCTTTCACATTAAGTTTCTGTTATTTAAAACTTACAATTCACTTCTTCCCAGATTATTATGTCGGTAGCCACTTGCCTTTCTCAGTTTCTACTCATGTTCCGTTCGGGTTCTCATTCAGCATACATCTTTGCTAGTTTTGCTCTCTTGTTCTTTTTCGGGGCAGTGTATGGAGTGCATCAGGGCCACGTAGCTCACGAGAGGGCTACCCCAGGTTTTGCTTGAAGGGGCATGTTTTACTACCATATGATAGATGGTGTGGAGACACGTTACAGTCCTACGCGTATGGAGTTTGTTCGGTTTGTTTTACTCTCTCTTACCAGGTCTTGCCAGCTTGGTTGACTTCTTTCGAGTAGTTGAGAGATGCACATTCCTTCTTGGTTTTACCAGCTTCCCTACTAGCCGTGTTATTGTAGTACTTGTGACTGCTTGATTGTGCATATGGGCTTCATTAGGCTATCTACATTCCTCCATTATTCAAGTCGGTTGGAGAATGACATTCAATGCACAACGATTTCCTTTTCTGCTCCTCATTTGGGCAAGAATTTTCCCACCAATACTTATCCCAACTCTGTTAATTTATACGTAGTACTCCCTCCGTCCCCCTATTGTTGGGACGGAAGGGAGTGGTATGCTCACCAAGATAAAAAATAAGTTTTGATAAAGCAACCAAAATGCAAAACAAAACCCACGTAGCTTAGGTAGTGCGTGTAACTGTAGAGGGTAGACCCACCATAAAGCAAATCAAACTCATGTAGCATATGTAGTGCACGTCAATTCTGCGAATTAACTTCCCAAGTCCACAATACCTTTTTACCCGCCAAATTGAAATTTTCATTTTCACTGCATTCAAATCCTCCCAAACCAAAATTTCAGTAACACAATAGTAGTCCCACAAATCCCTTATAAATAAATCCTGAGACATTAAGTCTCCTACAACAACGATCATACATTAATAAATTTATCTTACAACAACATGCCTGCAAGAAATTAAAGGCAAAATGACTACAATAAGTGTTCTAACAACAGCCATTCCAAAAAAGAATTTGACAGATGTTGAGCGGGAGAGCATTGTCGATCTTCTTCGGGAAAGAAGACATCAACTAGGGGGGACATTGCATAGAGGTGTCATCAATGAGACAACAGCTGCATATAATGTTCATAGGAAGATGGTTAGTAAAATTTGGTCAAAAGCAAGGAAGCAAATGCAACTAAAAATAGCAATTAATGTCAAGTCCAGACTGCAAGGCAAAAGAGGAAGGCCAAATTAAAGAAGGAAATAAGCAACACCATTGTAAGTCAAATTCCACTTGAACAGAGAACAAATATAAGAAGGCTAGCCAAAGCTCTGAAAATGGAAAATCAACAGTTCATAGGGCAGTAAAAAGAGGAGAACTCAGAAGCCATAACAATGCAATAAAGCCCTATTTAACAGAGGAAAACAGAAGGAAAAGGCTCATGTTTGTACTTTCTCAATTTCAGCCTACTCTATTGATGGAGGATCCCAAGTTTATTGATCATCAAAACTACATCCATATCGATGAAAAGTGGTTTTTTTTTTACCAAAACTAGTCAAAAGTACTATCTAACTCAAGAAGAACAAGACCCACACAGAAGTTGCAAATCTAAAAGTTTCATAACCAAAATTATGTTCATGGCTGCAGTTGAAAGGCCAATATTTGGTCCAAATGGTGAAGTGATATTTGACGGAAAGATCGGCATATTCCCTTTCACAACAACTGAACCAGCGAAAAGGAAAAGCAAAAATAGGGCAAAGGGAACATTGGTGACAAAAGCAGTGACTTCTATAACTAAACAAGTCACAAAAGAGTGTCTACTATACAAGATATTGCCCGCTATCAAGGAAAAGTGGCCCCAAAGTGCGGGTAAAACTATTTTAATTCAGCAAGACAATGCTAAACCCCACATTAACCCCTCCGATCCAGAATTTGTAGAGGCTGCCACAAAAGACAGGTGGGACATTCGTCTCATGTACCAACCCCCTAACAACCCAGATCTAAACATTTTAGATTTGGGATTTTTTAGATCCATCCAATCTCTACAACAAGAGTTCAAACAGAAAACGGTGGATGACCTAATTCAAGCTGTGAAGGATGCATTTGAAAAGCTAAAACCAGATAAGCTTAATGACGTTTGGATAAGTTTGCAGTATTGCATGATTGAAATATTGAAGCACAGGGGATGTAACAGGTATAAGTTGCCACACATTGGGAAATCAAAGCAAAAGAAGCAAGGGGAATTGATGCAACAGGCCTCGGTAACACACCAACTCTTTGAGGAAGTTATAAACTACCTGAATGAGGCTATGGTCGCTACAGGTGATTAGCAGTCAGTCAAGTAAGCTAAGAAGGCTTTAGGCAGATAAGAAAGGTTTAGGCAGATCATGTTTAAGCATAAACATCCTATATTTTTGCTATTTTGAGGTTGTTTAAGCATAAACGTCTTAAATTTTATTTACATGTTGTGAAAGTTTTTGTGTATATAGCAGTACCTCTATGAAGGTTTAGTAGGAACATAACAATGCCTGTAAACATACTATGAATGTTTTTGCATAAACTAGTTCAAGACAATGCACTATATTGTATGGATGATTAATAGGCAGATTGATCATTTTAGGCAGATTGTTCCTCTGTATTATCAATGTTTAATAATCCCAAGTTCATTGACCATTGAAAGTAAAAAACCCACGACTAATTTTCAGCAACTACGGAGTACTATATTCATCCTAATGTTTAATAGGAAGAGAATTCAGCAAGTTCAAAACTCCATGAGTAAATGTCAGCAACTACCCCATATTGTATCCATCCTAATGTTTAATAGGAGGAGAATTCCACAAGTTCTCCACTAATTGTGCATATTAAAAATATCAGGATGCTTTTTTGCTTACTGTGAACAAGAAACAACAAATTAGAGAGAGGAGATTTCATAAATTTAAAGGATTAATTCAAAGACTATTCAAGAGAAAAGCACAAAAACCCCAGGAACTATTTTTTAGAATTAATTGTCCAACTAAACAAGTACTCAACACCCCAAAAAATAAGATCAAATTAGGGATAGGAGATTCCAGAAATTTACCTTTACTTTGGGGATTTTTTATCCCATCCAGGTAATATGTACGTGACAATGAAATCATCAAGCCGCTTATTCACTTCTGGGCTAAAACGGTTGGGAGGAACGAAGCCATACTCCTGCTTGAGAGATTCAACATCAACCGTCGGTGAAGAATCAACGTATGAATTGTAGTCAGCTTCTTCCGCTTCTTCTGTCTCAGACACAAAATCAACTCGGTCTTCACTATCTTCAACTATCATGTCCCGGACTTCACTATCTTCAACTACTAAATCTTTGAGGTTAAGAGGTTTGGAGGAATCGTGACTCATGTTTGATTAATGGGAAGAAATGACCGTGAAGATGATGGGTTTAGGAGACGGAATCGGCAGCTCTGGATATCGATGGGAGAGAGAAGAGTGATGTGGGAGAGAAGATGTACAGTTGTTGGGTCGGTTGTGTAAGAGGGTTAAAGAGATAAAGTAGGGATACATTTGTCATTGTATTTATCTTTCCCTTTTAGTACATGTTATGGGACAAAAATAATGGGACACCCAAAATGAAAAAATGGGACAATAACAGCGGGACGGAGGGAGTATAATATAAAGACACTGTGTTAAAACTTCAGTTTCCATCCTAAAAGGCCAACATGATAGGAGGAGTAGCCTAAAACCTTATATAGTGTTTTATTATTTTATAGCTTTCCGGTGTGGGACAAATACTTCAACACGCCTCTTCAGCCTGAACCGGGCTGGACAATATTGAGGTGTATAAATGGGCCAAATAGACCCTTAAAAGCTTCATGTAATCATGGGTGCTAAACAAGCAGTCAAACCACAACAAAATTTGGCTCTGATACCATGTTAAGACTTGATGTTCCATTCTAAAAGGTCAACCTGATAAGAGGAGTAGCCCAGAGCCTTATATAGTGTTTTATTATTTTATAGCTTTCCGGTGTGGGACAAATACTTCAACACACTATTTTAAAATACCCATTTTCTCTCTCTCTATGCCACGCTGAAGAAATAAATTTTCTCTCATCCGTTTTAAACTGATTACCAAGGGAGCCCGAACATCAATTTGATCCATTATTCCTAAGTCCAGCCTCATACTGAATGTCAATCATCGATCAAACAAAAAATCCGTCCATCCTAATAAAAAAACCTTCAACATCGCCAATTCTAACAAACATTGAACATGTACATGATGCGGATGCACAAAAGTTTAAGTAGGAATTTGGTTTCGAGATTTATTTGGAAAGTATATCATATCTACAGTCCACTCAATTAAAATTTAACTGTAATTTCATTGGTATTTTGACGACCGATCTCTCACAGAATTACCCAAATTTAACCGTAAAAGTATGTGACCCAAATCAAAAGTGATATTCCTTAACAAAATTGACGCTCTCTAGTGTCTACTTGTCACCCTCCATACAGGACCAAAAAATTAGGCCATTTTATTCTTATTTTTTGAAAAACAATAAATTCACTCAATAGCATGTTCTTCTCTAAATACTTTATTCTCTTCCGGCCTTTTCGGTATTTTCTAATAAAAATGTTCATGTTTGCAAATCTAATCACAACTAACTTTTATATTCCTAATTCAACCTTTCTTACTCGTCTTTTGGCATGATGTAATGCCCGAATGGTTCAAAAATAATTTGGTAGTGGGGATCACAATAATTAAACTTTTATAATTGGGATCTATTTTACTTTTCCCAGATCGTTCTGTCATTAATCACACTCGGTTGCGAGTTTCTTGTCATGCTCGCTCGTGTTCGTGGACGTCACCACACAAATTATACCGTGGTATCGGTCCACCTTCCACATGGTGTGCCGATCCCACTTTTGGAAGTTAGGTACGTTACTTCCTTTCTCCCTCGAGCTTCTTCTTTCCTTTTTCTTTTGCTTTCCTTTCTTTATTTATCTTTTCTTTTGCTTTTCAATTCTTCTCCTTTTCCATCAAATTAAAATATTAAAAATTTAATTGCAATTTTACTTTTCTTTATCTTCAACTTAAATTATAATTGAATCCATTTTTTATTCTTTATCACTACATAACAAAAAGCATATTAATCTAAATAAAATAAGTATATTACATTTCATTTTCATACATTTTTGTAATATCTTTTTTATATTCATACATTTCTTTGTAATAAACTTTTATATGCATACACTTTTTCGATAATGTTTTTATCGATTTTATATGTTTTTAGACGTTATTAAGACATTGGGTTTGTTTATTTTGAATCTTGAAGTTACATTTGATAATATACGAAGTTACATCTTCTTATGCTCAAGTTACATGTTATTATGCGTGAGTTACATCTTGTTATGCGTAAGTTACGTCTTTTTTTTGCGCGAGTTACATACTTTTATGCACGAAATACATCTAATTATGTGTGAGTTACATCTAATTATTTGTGACTTTTAATTATCTTTATCTTTAACTAATTAAATTACAATTGAATTATTATTTTTTCATTACCAATTTATTACAAAATTTTATTAATGCACATAAAATAAGTATATTGTATTTCATAATCACAAAATAAAACCCTTGTATTGATTTAAAAAACTTTTTTTTAAACCGATTTTCTTTTGCAAAAAAAAAGATTTTCTGGCAAAAAAATGATTTCTTTAAAACATTTTGTGGTTTTAATATTAAAAAGACAACACATTCACTATTTAGGTAAAGTAAATAAGAAATGAGTTGCACTTAGCTTACAAGATAATTCAGTGGTGGAGGGGGTAATAAATACTACTACCTCTGCTCCAAATTGATTTGCAAATTTGACTTTTCTTGGTCAAACACTTTCATTTTATTCGCTTAATTAGGATGTCAATTTTTAATTATATTCTAATTTGGAGTTCGCAACTTTGAAAAGATTACAATGTAGTTTCTAAATATATATTTAATTTTTAATTATTAAAAATTGAATTAATTATCGATAGAGAGGATTGACTTCTATTATTGGTTGACCAAAAAATGTTGACTTTGCAAAACAATTTGAGACAGATGGAGTATGTATGTACATTTTAAATTCTTTTTCACCAACTGCTGGAAAACATACCATAAAATGTTTTACCAGAGTCAATTTTTCCAGCAAAGAATATACTTTCTAGCAGATATTTTTTAATACATGGGCACATTTGTTAGCTATAATACTACATCTGCATAGAAAAATTACATGGCTAAAAATAAAATGAGCACAATAAAAACTTACTAAAATAAATATATAATTTCCTCACATTTTTCTTATTAATTTTCTAAATCTTGATTTTTTTTAATATTACCAAAATGAAACTTATTTACAAAAATATGGTAAATAGTTACTACAATGTAGTGTCATGGTAACTTAAGTTTTAAAATTGAACATAAGTTACTATGATTCTATTACGAGTTTTTTCCACTTTTAGTCCTCCGATTATTATGTCATTGACACTTTTGGTACTCGTATTTGAATTTTTTCACTTTTAGTTCTGGACTATCTTGCTAGAGACACTTTTGGTGCATGTTTTTGAAAATTTCCATATTTAGTCCTCCGACTTTCATAAAAGTGACACTTTTGATTCTTCAACTATTATAATAATAGCATTTTTAGTCCTCCATTTATTGTATCAAAATCATAGTAGAAGGACCAAAAGTGTCAATTTGATAATACTCAGAGGACTAAATGTGAGAAACTTTGAAGTCAAGGACTACAAATGTCTGTAGCACAATAGTCGCGGACTAGAATTGAAAAAATTAAAAGTCAAGTACTGAAAGTGTCAACGACACAATAGTCGGGGACAAAAAATGGAAAAAACTCTTCTATTACTACTCTAGTCACTTGTCACATTTTTATGAACATTCTTTATTTTAGTCATATATGCGTAATAATTTCATCTCCGGTATCTCTCTACATTTAGTACGGTTTAAGTTGCTTGCTAGATTTGGTGTAAGCAAATCGTTTTCATTGAATTGAGTTTAAGTACTACTTGTACAAGATTTACACTCAAATTCAGACTATTTTAAGAACTACTTGTACATTTTCATTTGGTGGAGAGATTCTATGTATGCAATTCATTTTTATTTGTGGCCAGGTGAGCCTTTAATAGCCAAAATGGAAGCTCTCTTCTAACTCTCTACAGCATGCATGGTTAAGAAATTCATTTGTGTTGTGGAATGAAGAAAATGTAGAATACATTCATGGGATAGATATATGTATAACGATCTCTGAATATTCTTCTTCGTAATAGGAAATTTTCAAAAAGAATTTACATAAGATTTATCAAGCAATATTTATAGCAGTTTAGTTTGGGGGTGAATCATGTGAGAAATGATTCTACACATTTTGCTGACAATATTAAATCTAGTCTTCTATCTATCTCGGACATCAAATTGAGCACTTGAAGAATGGATTTTTCATCAATCAATCAAATTACATCGAGAAAGTTTTGAACAAATTCTACGTGGAGAAAGTTCATCCTCTTACTTCACCAATGATGTTCGATTCATCAAGATACTTGAGTAAATATTACATTTTATAGTAAACTTATTGGCTAGGTATAGTTTATATTCAAGAGGGCGTCATTGGAACGAAATCAAACACATATTCTATTAGCTCGGTGGTACAGTTGATCGGAGACTATTGTGTCAGAAAGATGCAAAGGCCACCTTATGACCACAGATCCCGAAGCTAGATACTAATTACAAAATCCTCAAAAGGAAAAATCACAAACAGGATACAGGTGCTCGTATGACAATATTATAACCTTGTGGAGATCTATGAAGCAGTGAGAACTACATTACCAAATCATGTCGAGTTGATTACCTTATATGAAATTGGAAGAGAATGTGTTTGACTTCGATCTATGGTCAACACATCCCAAATGAATGTGATATGAGACTACTTACTTGTCAGATTAAAAAATGTTATATCAAAGGATCGGACATAAAATGAAACACATATCTTCGTCGAATTCCATTTCTTTCCTAATTATTTCCCAACACCCTCATTTACGAATCCCTTTTAATTGAGATCTCGTAATTGTAGCAACACGGTTGAAGTAATGATTATTTTTTAGGTTCTCACCTTAAGAGTATGTTTGGCACAACTAGCTAAAAATGTACTTTTATGAGCTTTTTAATAACTGTTAGCTTTTAGTAACTGAAAAGATCTTAAAAAGAAAATGCAGTACCTGTTTGGTAAAAGATGTCTGTTTGATTTAACACTGTTTGGTATACACGCTGTTAAGACTAATTAATACTAGAAGCTACTGACTTATCTGAGATGCTACTCACTGTAACATCTCAAAAAAGATCTTTTATTTTTATAAAATCTCTTAAAAATTGACACGCCAAACATATAACTAGAAGCTTTTAAAGATTTTTTAAATAATACAAAAGTTAGAAGACAGAGACTTATACTTGCGAAACATAGCCTAAATGTATCGTGGGTGTGAGTGAGTGTGTCCATACGTATGTACATTTGTATGTATATCAGAAGAATATATATAGGTTTAGGTTCCAAGAAAAGGTGTCTTCACATTTAGATAATTTCTGCTATCCACTTTTAATTATATGCAATATACTATTGCATACTAGAACTCTAGAAGTGTACTTTTGTAATGTTAAAAAGCTTTGATTTTTTACAAGGTGTTTCATCCACTTGGTGCATTTTAACATATTTTAAAGTCATGGTCATAAATCTGATCCTACATACGGAGTATTAATTATTATTTTCATGGCAGTGACTCTTTTTATTTAATCCAAAATCTCTCTATATATGCATGTATATATTGTAAAAGAGTATAAAACACACACACACACACACACACACACACACACACACACACACACACACACACACACACATATATATATATATATATATATATATATATATATATATATATATATATATATATATATATATATATATATGATGCTTTACAGCGGAGTTTAATTATTTTGGCTCTCCTATTCTACCGTATTGATTTATACTTCCTCGTTAAAGGCAGAGGATGGAAAGATTGACAAATTATCACTGTATATACAAAAAAAGACTAATTTTTACAGAACTTTATGTGTATACTCTCCAACTAATTACTAATCTACCTGGCTCCCACACTTGAGTTGTATATAGAGTTAGCTCTTCTATGCATTTCTTGAGCTCGGGCTCTATCAAGTCTTGCCTTCTCCATCCTGGACCGTCGGGCAGCCTCTTGGATTCGACGTTCATGATCCTTGAGTAATTGGTCCACTTTGCTAGACGGACCAAGTAATGGACCAGAGAAATGATCATCTACTTTTGAACCATGGCCCTGCATACACAAGATCAACGTGAGATTATAGTCAGCAAGATAAGAGCGGAAAGGGTAAAGAAATACGGAGTATTAATTATGATTTAATTAAAAAATTGGGATATTATTGTTCTAATAGAATGATTACCCAAAATAATTGATGTTTTAGAATAGTGCACACAAATTAAGGCATCTAACAAAAAGGCTATTCTGTCCTTGTTCAAGTTTAATATTAACATGGCGGTATTTAGAAGATTAGAAAAAATGCATAAATCACTATCTTAAGCGTCAGTAGATTCATTGTAATAAATAAAAGAGGGAAACACACCTGAGCAGCTTGTTTTGTATTGGAGCTTCCACTTCCAATGTAGCACCTTTGATCTGGTTTCCTCACTGCTAACTCAACTGGCATTTCAGTTTGATTTAATGACTCAACTCGTGAAGGAGCCCGTGGATCTACAGACAAAACTGTCACAGGCCTGGAGAGTTTGGAGAAGTCGGGTCTACTAGAACAAATGGAGATATCATCATATCTCTTCCCAAATTTTGAGCACTCAAACGCTGGACCTAAAGGCCCTGAGTGAGAAATTGCTTGCGGAATATAATCTGAGTGATTCTTGACTGGATCATGTGATAGTCTATGTGGAGGATCAAAAGCAGCTTCTTGATCTGTCTTGAGCATAGAATTTCTCTTCCTCCACTTCGATAAATGCAAATCATCAAGTAAGTACTTTCAAACATTATTTATTATATTGAGAAGTGATTGGGAATGTGAAGGATTGGTGCACAACAGGCACCATTGAAGAACCAAGATATTCATGGCTTCTTTTTCTAAATATTCCTCCAGAAAAACACTCTTCATTCACCCAAGTAAAACTTCAAGATTTTATGAAAAGATAGAACTAATAGATTTAGTCATTTAACCAATTCTAGCTATATTTTTTTAAACGTATACGTTGGCCAAATTAAATAAGACACTTATAAAAATAATTTAACTACGTATAATGAAATTTGATTCTTGTATTCAAAAATGGCTCTTTTGGGGGCAAAATAAGTTTTTCAAATATGTCTCCTTTTTGGGAGGATAGAATTTGGAACCATTCCAGAATTAAGAATGGGAAACATTCAATGGTCTAATTGACTAATTCCATTATAATGTTATAAGAAACGCCCAAAGTATATTTACCTGCAAAGATCTATCAGCCTTTGCCACGGTTAGAGGAACTCCTCGAGATTCTTGTGGCTGGTTCTGAGCTGCAATGACTCCTTGCCTAGAAGAAGTACTCAAAAATCAATACAAATTATTTTTATATTTTGTAATGTGAGAAATTTAACATAAATTACTGTTGATGCCCAATTTTATTCACTTCACTATAAATTATACCAGAGAGTTGTAATACGAGATACATGTTTCCCTATAAAATTAAAGCATGTCAAGCTCTCAACTGAGAACTTCACTTTGAAAACGTTTACAAAAATTAGCACACAATAAATTACCTCCTATGTTCATCTTCTCGCAACTTCACATCAATTTCCTTGCTAGGAGGGTATTGCGGTAAACTGGAAGGATCACAAGCAAATGGCTTTGTTCTGAAGAACTGCCAAAGTGTGTGTTAAACTATGAAACAATAATTTTAAACAAAATACAAGACTAAGTGCATGATCACTTCAAAGTTATTCAAAAGCATCTTGGCTAAGAAAAACTTACATCACTCTTTAAAGCACCACCAGCAGTTCCTCTATGCTCGGGATCTATAGAAAGTAAGGTCTCCATTAGGCCTAGAACAACAGCAGGGAGATCCTTAAAAGCCTCAAAAATACGCCGTCTATAAGGTCTTATTGGCTTGAATACAGTGGAATGGGCTAATTTCTCTTTTCTCCAATAATCCTCAGTTGGCGATCCACAAAGCTTAAAAATCTTATGCAATTGCTCTACCTACAATGCAAAATTACATTTGTAGCCTTTGGAATGCAAAATCATACTATGAGCCACTAACATCATTTTTCCAACTCATCAATCAAGCACACTAAGGCATAGTAAGAATTCAATAATTGTGTTGGGGTCACTCAACTGTCATGAGACTCTAACATAGATGTACTAATCATGCTAAGTTGAGTCCTAGGTATAAATATTAATGAGACATATATATAAATAATGCCTTCTGTTAGAATAGTTAATATATTTAATTATTTTTTTAACTGATTTAGAAAAGTGCAGCATGGTCCAGTTAAGTGAATCCGACCCAATAATGAAATCTATCTGTAATGCACAGTAAGTGATTGTGTGTACCTCGGTTCTCCCAGGCATGATTGGCTTGCCAGCATATAATTCTCCAAGTATGCATCCAGTGCTCCATAAGTCTACTCCAACTCCATACTGAGTTGCTCCTAGTAAAAGTTCCGGTGGTCGATACCATAAAGTCACAACACGGCTTGTTAATGGAACACTTTTCTCACAATTAAAAAACGTCGCTAGTCCAAAATCTGCAATTTTCAAGACTCCATGATTGTCAATCAGAAGGTTTGAGCCCTTTATGTCCCTATGCAGAACACCATGACTGTGAGAATGATCAAGCCCACTGAGTAGCTGTTGCATGTAGCATTTGATCTAGACAACCAATAAAAAGATTAGCACTCCTAGCAAGATGGGGGAAAAGAAACAAAATTTATTAAAAATTAGGCTTCTATTTGTAAGACGACCTTCAAACATGGGATTCCATAATAAAATGTTAACCTAGTAGGAAGAGTAATCAAAGATTTGAAGTGCAGAAAATGAAGGGACAGACCTGAGATTCTGTAAACTTGACACCAGGAAGTGATGCCAATCCAGTGAGGTCATGTTCCATATACTCAAAAACAAGATACAAACTGCAAGACGTTCTTGAGGTGACAAGGCCTTCCAATTTTATTATATTTGGGTGATCGAGCCTTCTCAAAATGAGGATCTCCCTAGCCATAAACTTCACACTCTCAAGATCAGCATTATCAAACCTTACTCTTTTTAATGCTACTAATTTGTTGTGAGTCAGATCACGAGCTTTGTACACGCTACTGTAAGTTCCTTGACCAATCTGCAAGAATAAAACCCCATCTCACATTCTCACATCATCATCTTTTCTGAGAAAACTTACAAATTGTAATCTTTCTTTCCAAAAAAAAAGATCCAATATCAGTATTGAAATATCCACAGTTTTTCCTTAAATTCATAGTATGATATTTCTACAAATACGGATATCAAATTGAATAGAACCACAACGTTTCAATTACAACAATAAGGGATGAAAATGTACCTTATCCAATCTCTCAAGAGTGTCGGCTTTGCGAGGAAGCCATCCAAGGATGGCTTCGCCAGCAACAGAAGCAAGCCAAGAGGGCCAACCAGCAGTAACCAACTCAGCTTCTATTGCCTTGGGAACGCTTCCATACCCAGGAGGACTATAACTGAATATAGCACTACTACTACCTTCACAATTCTTGTTTATAATATACTCAAAATTATCATCCCTAACTTTTCTAGACCCATTTCCCTTCTTATCCATCAATCTTGCATCACTACTTCCCTTCCTCTCCTTCACTGTGAAACTCTCGTCTCTTCTTGAAGAATTAGCTCTTTTGGCACGAAGTTCGGATGATCCCTTGCCCAATTCTCTCTTCTTTTCCTCCACAATTTTTTTAGCTTTCGCAGAAGGGAAAGCTTTTGCATAAACGCAACCCATTGTACAATAAATAAAGAATCCAACCAAACCAGGCATCAAATCATAATCGCCATTAATACAAGAAAGCAGAAATCCAGCATATCAATTAGATCACAAAACATGGGAAAATCATGATTTGCAGCGAATAATCAAATACCCTGAAGTCCAAACAAAGACTCCGAAAAAGATTCCAACTTTCCACAAACTAAAAATCAGCTCAAAAGTATGACTTCAGAGTTCAGGCCTTATTATTACTACGTATATTTTTGATAAAACCCAAACCTCCAAAAGAAACGTTAATTAGAATCCTTCGATCTCGGCAACTGTTTCATTAGCGTTTTTGAGACACTTCAGCTTTTGGCGAAATTGACTGGATGTGTAAAAGAAATACGGAATAGCCTTTTTTTTGCAGAGGAGACGATATTTGGTGGTGAGTTTGACTGGTCAAAACGCGCTTGTATTTTGCAAGAAGTAATCAACTCAAGAAAATGAATGCATGAGAATATTCTTATTGTCAATTAATCATTAATATTTAAGAACAATTCTACGATTATGATTAACATTTATGTGAGTAAATGAATATGTAATACGACTATATATACGAGTATGTATTATGGCGATTTTTTCTAAAGTGTTAATGGGTATGTTTATGGAAAGAAACACTTAATGTGCATAAATCTCGGGAAATGAGATACTTCAAGAAAAATTAATGTCACACAAGAATAAGTATAACTGTCACTAAAGTGTTATATTTACTACTATAATATTGTATTTTTTATGAAACACTTAATGCATAAAACAGAATTTTCAAAATATGACTATAATTGGTGTAAAATTTTAAAATAAGAGAATATTATATTTTTCACCTAAAAAGGAATGAATTATTGCAATTTCGAACTTGTACTACAATATTTTTGAACTATCGACTTCTTTTTAGGTCAATTTTGAAAGACCTTATATTTTTCTAGCATTTGAAAATATACTCCGTAGTATTTGTATTTCAAGCCCTAACCTTGTATTTAAGTTGTTTTTTTAGAATGATTTCACGTATATTGATTTCAACATATGAAGGTTAGACTTGGAGGATATCATACGTTATCATACCATACCCTTTTAAGGGAGCAAAATTATTACTTAATTATACTAGTTCAAAATAGATAAGAACGGAAAATTTAAATTTAGCTCTGTGTAAATAAACACTCTTAGCCTCTTGTGACTTGTGAGACCTAAATACCTAATTAACAACCTGTCTTTGAGGATGAAACAAACATGATTGAATGTATTTTTTATCTTTCAAAAGTGCAAAAATTTTATTTTCAAAATCATTGAAGTTATATATATATGTTCCATTGAAGCTATATATATATATATATATATATATATATATATATATATATATATATATATATATATATATATTAAAAACATATACGTAGTATAAGTCATGAGTTTCACTTAGTTTTAACTCCATTAATAGTATAAAGTTAAAAATTGGATAAAACTTTTGAGTTAAACTATGAAAGCGGTCTTTTTAAAATGGAATAATGGATACCCTAGGAGATCTTAACAAGGATATATAAAAGTTAATATTGTAAGGTGAAATATATAAAATAAAATTATGAATCTAAATTATTCCATCGGATCCCAGACTTCTCTTTTATGCGTGTGTTTGGATGTACTCGTTACCCTAATTTTACTGCCACATCAACAAATAAGCTTTCCCCTCGTTCTACTCAGTGTGTTTTTCTAGGATATGCGTCTGAATATAAAGGCTATCGTTGTCTTGATCCCCGGACAGATAGAATTTATGTTAGTCGTCATGTCAGGTTTCATGAAAACATTTTTCCATATACTCAACTGGTATCCCAAGTGTCGTCCGAGTCTTCCACAATGCAACCATGTTCTCCTACTTTCTCCATGACATCTCCATTATCTTCCACTGCTACTGGACAGCCCCCGGATCTTCCGTCTACATCTCTGATTTCTCGGCATACGTCCCCCGAGAGCCATGTCGCCTACCAATTTTCCTCAACTGCTACACCGACTACCGCCAGCAGAGCATCATCACCTGGGCCAACCTCTCCGACTGTTCCCAGCTCACCGGTGAGTTCTGCCATGACGGATAGTTCGCCGTCTGGCAGCGATGATAACGACACGGTATCGGTGTCTCCTCCGTCCTTGGTCCCAAATGTTCATCCCATGCAAACACGCTCCAAGTCAGTAATTTTTAAACCAAAAACGATTTTTAATTTAAACACTCAGGTTTTGGTTCCTGACCCTACTTGTTTTTCTGTGGCTAATAAAGATCTTAAATGGAGAGTTGCTATGGCTGAAGAATTTAATGCACTTAATGCTAATAAAACGTGGGAATTAGTACCGTTTGATTCTAGTAAAAATGTGGTTGGGTCTAAATGGATTTATAAAACTAAATATCGATCTGATGGATCTATTGAACGACATAAAGCACGTCTGGTTGCTCAGGGATTTAAGTAGCAGGCTGGGGTTGACTTTTCTGAAACTTTTAGTCCTGTTGTTAAACCCACCACTGTTCGCATTGTTCTTAGTATAGCTGTTTCTTTCAATTGGTCTATTCGATAGTTGGATGTTAAAAATACATTTTTACATGGTAATCTGAATAAAGAAGTTTACATGCGTCAGCCACCCGGGTTTATTCATCCCCAGTTTCCTAATCATATCTGCCGCTTGCGCAAGGCCATTTATGGTCTTAAACAAGCTCCCCGGGCATGGTTTTATCGTTTCAGTAGTTTTCTCTTGAGTCATGGTTTTATTTGTAGCCGTGCAGATAATTCTCTCTTCATATTTCTTCATGGCAACCATATTATTTATTTGCTTCTCTATGTGGATGATATAATTGTTACTGGGAATTCTTCATCTTTTATCAGTCAATTTATTTCAGTCCTGGGTAAATGTTTTGCCATGAAAGATCTCGGTAATCTGCACTTTTTCTTGGGGGTTCAGGCTGTGCGTAATTCCACTGGTTTATTTCTCTCTCAAGCCAAATATGTGTCGGATCTCTTAACTCGTTTTCATCTTCACACTCTTAAATCTGTTCGCATGCCACTTGCTAATAGAACTAAGTTGTCTCTCACTGATGGTGAGTTAATTGTTGATCCCACAGAGTACCGTAGCATGGTAGATGCATTGCAGTATTTGACTATGACTAGACCTGATATTACATATGATGTTCATTTGGTGTCTCATTTTATGCATGCTCCTCGTACTTCACATATGTTGGCTGTCAAAAGGATTTTCAGGTATCTCATAGGCACTCTCACGCATGGACTTCATCTTCAACAGGCAGAACGTCCACTATCTGTTATTGCGTACTCTGATGTTGATTGGGCTGGTTGCCCTGATAGTAGCCGCTCCACCTCTGGCTATGCTGTTTTTCTGGGTCCTAGCTTGGTCTCTTGGCGCTCCAAGAAGCAACCCACTGTCTCGAGATCCTCTACAGAAGCTGAGTATCGCGCTATTGCATATACTGTACAGGATACATTACACGTTCGGTCTATTCTGTTTGAGCTTGGATTTCCTCTGCATCGACCGGTTCGGCTTCTGTGTGATAATATTTCTGCATCTTATTTATTAGCTAATCCTATTCAGCATGCTCGCAATAAGCATATTGATATTGATTATCATTTTGTTCGATAGCGTGTGGCTCATGGTGATCTCTTGGTGCTGTATGTTCCTACAAAGTTTCAGTTAGCTGATATTTTCACCAAAAGTTTGACACCTCAACAATTTCTATTTCTTCGAGACAATCTACGCGTAGTTCCTCCTGCATAGATTGAGAGGGTGTAATAGTGTAGTATTAATTGTTATTAATTATTAGGCAGTATCCTAATTGTATTTGAACACTTATTTCATTATATATATACAGTCAGGGCTACCAGTTTGGTTAAACCTGTTTATTACTTTTACAGTTTTAACTAATGTTGCATGTTATATGGCTTATTGTTATTCTTGACGGTGTAATCCTCGTGATTTTATTGCTAATGTTTTGAACATTGACCTTATTATTATAGTAATTAAGTTGATTCCTTTCGAAAAAATTGTGGAGAGAGAAAGTGACATTAATAACTCCCCAATAGAAATAACATAGTGTTATACTGTTACTAGAAAACTGGTCGCGCTTTGCGCGAATGTTATATGCCTAATATGTACTTTGAGTTTTGTATAATGCTTCGTAATGTAAACAATTACTTGAATATATTGATAATAAAGATGATGCATCTTGCTAAAGACACAATTTTTATTTAATTTAATAAGAAGTTGATGTTTTATTTATTTAATTGAATATAGAAAATGTATTGAATCTGCTTGCATGATATGTATAAATTTCAATCCCTATGGCATTGCCTTTTCATCTTTCTCTACCTGGGTCAATGGTAAATCTATGCTTGCTTGTGTCACCCGAATGATGTTGAATTTCTTTTTCAATGTCGGAGTGTTTGTTTTGTTGGAGGTTCACGGGGCAAAGGACAAAAACATTGTTTTCTTCAAAGTACAACGCAAAACTCCGCAAAGACAATGCAAATATGAAATACCTCATGATAATAATCGTTTTTTTTTATGAAATGTAAATATATATATCATCAAAAGAGTATATGTACAACCTATAAACAAAAACCAAAACTATAGGCAATCCAAAGATTTGGATTCCCCATCCATCTGCGTGATAACCATCTATGTTGCATGGAAACGTGAAAATCATAAGGAAACGGGAAACGGGAAGCGTCAACTTTTGCTCAAAAAACGCTTATTTGGAGAGTTTCCAAAGAGTTTCCGAGAGTTTCCGAAACGGGAAACGTACTCTTTCCCAAGAGTTTCCGTGCTACATAGATAACCATCTCAAAGAGAGCTAGCTATCCACTCCAAAACTAGCCATAAGGCATGACAAAAAGTGGGAGACAAAGCACCCCATCAGTTTCAAAAGTTAATCATATCGACCGGATATAAGGAGTATAACAATTTATAGACCATAAACTTGATTTGGGCTACAACTCCTTGAATGTTTGCTTTTGCACCATCAAACCGAATGGAGTTCCTTGATCTCCAAATCCAATATATCGAGTAACAAAATGCTATCCTCACGGCCTTTGCTTTTAGATTAGCTCCACTTTGCTCTTTTTTGATCTATTTGACCGAGCTCCTAAGAGTATGCATGCTCCTTGTTAGTCCTAGCCATTGCTTGACATTTTCCCACACTTGACCTGTAAAACAACATTCAAAAAATAGGTGTGGTACCGTTTCCGGACCACCCTCACAAAAAGGGCATATATTCGCCACATCAAGGTAAGGTAAATTATCATAAGTAGCTAATCTATTTCTAAAAGCCAGCCATGCAATGAATGAAAATTTTGGTGGTATGTAAGATTTCCAAATGAAAGGCATCCACGCCCTAGGAGTGGCCTTGACTCTTAGTAAGTCATACACCTTAGAAGAAGAAAGCTTTCCATTTAAGGTACATTTTTCAAGAAAATTGATAGTTTCTTCTAAAGATGAAAATTTTGAACATATTTGGTCTCTAATCAAGACAAATCTTTTCATCAATTGCGTATCTCTTGTGTGTGGAATAAAAGTTGTACGTAGGGGATTCAACGTGAAAGAATAGGTCAAGCGGAGAAAAAGAAGTTCATAGTTGGTTTAATTGAATTTAAACAAGATAAATCACCATACTTGTTTCTAAACTTAGCATGCTACAATAAAATCATAAAAATATACTCCCTCCGTCCCTCAATTAAGTTCGCGGTTTGACTTCACACGTATTAAGAAATTAAATTTGACTTTACTGTGGAGTGCACTGTTTTGCACAGTTCAAACACTGTTTGACACTGTTTGGCACTGTTTTGCACTGTTTGACACTGTTTTGATGTAGATAATTTGTCAAATAAAGAAAGTAAGGAAGTGTGAACTTAATTTAGGAACTGCCCAAAAAGGAAAGTGGTAACATAAATGGGGGACAAAGGGAGTAGTTTCTATGTTTTAATGAATACTCCCTCCGTTTCACAATCTTTGACACAGTTTGACTTGTCAAGAATTAAGGAAAAAATGTTACTGAGGGGTAAATTTTACTGTAGAGTACACTGTTTGGCACTGTTTGAACATTGTTTGGCACTGTTTGGCACCGTTTGACACTGTTTTGCACTGTTTTGGTAAAGATTTGTTTACCAAATAAGGAAATAAGGAAGTGTGTCATTGATTGTGAAACAACCAAAAAAGGAAAGTGTGTCAAAGATTGTGAAACGGAAGGAGTATTAGTGACAGACATACTACATTGAGAAGATGGGAACAACGTAACATTTTAATTAAAACAAAACTGTCAATCACTAACTTCTCGTATTGATAATAATACCTAAATAAGCGGCTACTCGAGATGTAAACTATTTTTTCCCATAGTAATAATGTATGATAAACTCAAGGTAGTCCTCATGCAATAAACGTATTAGGTAGAATAAATAATATATCAGGGGAGCACTACACTCAAAAAACTAAACATGAAATGTCGGAGAAAAAATATGAAAGTGCAATGTCAAAAGAAACGAGTGCACAAAAATAACATATTCCACACAAGTTCACTAATTCTATTTTTAAGCTATTTTTATTCATCCCACTTACACTCTACAGATCAGAGAAGATTAGTATCATTTCATTTCTATATGCATAAACATTTTAATGAGATGTTTGCTTTTGAATTTAGATGGCGCACTTACAATGAACTCACACACAAACGAACCATATTTAAAAAAGATTTGTGTTTTTTCTTAGTTGTTTGAAATGACACTAAGTTAAGTTCAAAAATAATGGGGACAATTCTTTCTTTTTTGAATGAAATAATGGGGACAATTCTAAGACTAAGTGGAAATCAATATGTAAGAAAAAAAAAACTGATATGTGTGTTAGCATGTGAGAGTAAGTACAATGAAATAAGCTTCACATATTATCAAACACCTATTGTGCATTTCATTTCTTTTCATCTGAGCTTGTTCAGATCATTTAATCATACTCGAGATCACATTAATGAGCTTCGGATTATTGCATTAGCTAGTCAATTTCAGATCATCTATCAATAATCGAGATAACATTTGTAGAACACAAGCATTACAATTTTTTTAAAAAATAGGAAATAGCCTCTAAGCAAAAAAATAGTTAAAATGCAACGTGAACTCATTTAACAATTGGGAAGAGAATAGTACAACTTAGATATTGATGATCATGATCGTGAGAAGGGGATAAGGGAACTTTAAATCCCATTATGTATTTGAATAGGTGAAAAGTTAAAATCTGAATATAAAATTAAATTGATAAGAGACGGTACATCTTGTCCATTGTCGAATAGAGATGTGGGTATTCTGTGATGATTTGGTTGGAAAATAAAAAATGGACTCGAACCAAGAAAACAACTCGACACGAGAGTTATACGCTGAAAAATTAAAAGTTGTTGAAACTAAAGAGTCGATACAAAAATGATAACACATAGCGGATATACCAATTTCATATCGTATGTGGAGTAAGCATCCTTAAACACAAGTAACCATCGCCAAATGAATTTAACACTGTTAACGGTAAAATTGGATGGTGAGGTCGACCATTTGAAAAATAGTTCATACGGGACAATATGATAGCACACGGTACTACACCTTAAAGCCTAACCATGACAAACCATGAGCATTTAATACTAAAACTGGCCTTTATAAGATAGGTTAAGATATAAGAGTTGATGGCCTAGCTATTTGTAGACAATTACAAATTACAACACAATACTTTTACAAAATTAGGACTGCCTAATGTTTCTTCTATCCGTGTGATGCATGTACTCCTATTTTAAGAAACTCAATTATTAGTTTCCAAATTTGCCCCTTCAACTTGAGTAAATTGAGTTTGAAATTCCCAGTTCAGGAGACGTACTTCCCCAACTGTAGACGCTTTCCCCCTACTTCAGGGGACATACGTAGCCAACTGGAGACGTTTTCCCTCTACTTTAGGGGACGTACGTCCCCCAACTGGAGACGTTTTCCTCCTACTTCAGGGAACGTACGTCCCCAGCTATCTATTTATTGTCTACTTATTGTCTATTTAGTGTCTATTTAATATTTGTTATTTTCTAAAAGTAAGGGTATTGTGGTCAATGCAGATTTAGTTGAGTCTTAGGCTAATCTTCCTTCCCTTTGGACTTTGTCAACTTTTCTTTTTTGATTGTTTCAAAAAACTTTGTCACTTACCTATTAAAGCAACTAATTTGTGGTTCTGCACATTTTTCTCTCCTTTGCACAAATCTCAACCAACAATTTTTTTATTATTCTTATTTCTTAACTACTTTGCACTTGACAAAGTACACGCGATAGATATAGTAGATAAAAGAAGGTACATTATTGAAATAGTCAAATAGGAAACCTATCCTATCTTAACACGCCAGCTCTCCGGGATTATAGGAGAAAGAAGAGTCAAGAAGGGGTCATTGAGGACAGTTTGGAACCCTACGGCAAAGACGGCACATTTGTGGTTTAGACCACGTTATTTTAGGAACAGGTGTACTCCTACCAAACACTATTTTGCTTAATTATAATAGTACTCGTACAAAAGTGAGTAACACTCCACCTCATATCAATCAATTGACCTTGAAATCACTATTCTAATAGAGCCTTGTTTGGTGTACATATGCGCACATTTTTGACGTACTTATCTTTCCCTGCAATCATGGAGATGGAGTTGTTTGTACAGACAATTCTTTAGGGGTTTTTAAGTTTTTTGACCAAACAACTCTGTAGATTAAAGTGACACATTTTATTACTCCGTATTGGTTAATATGTTATTTTTATTTTTTCATCTTCGTTATATACACTATTTATATTTAGAACTACCTCCGTCCCGCAAAGAAATTCTCACTTTCCTTTTATGGATGTCTAAAAAGAAGTTATCATTTCTATAAAAGAAAACCACTTTTAACCAAAAAATCACAACTACCCTTACTTTTTACCTACTTTTTGTTTGATTTGACATAAAGTAAGGATATACTTGGAAAATCAAAATAAAACTCTACCTTACATAAATATGTGTAGGTTAAACTAGGAACTTCTTTACGAGACGGAGAGAGTATATCCCTAATTCTGAATTCCTCTGTTTAGAAAAAAAAATATTTTCAATGCCATAAGTTATTAGAAACTTTTACATTTATCATTTTATAATTTTTTAGGCAGATATGAGAGTTAAAACAATGTAAAATAATTACTTACATATCTAAAATACAACGTATGTATTATAACTTTCTAAAAAAGTTTAAGGATATGTTTGGCACAACTAGTTGAAAAGATACTTTTATGAATTTTTTCGCAAGTGTTAACTTTTAGTGACCGAAAAGATTTTATAAGAAAAAAGTAGTAGCTGTATGATTAAAAGCTGATTGTTTGATTTAGCTCTGTTTGGTATACAAGTTGTTAGGACTAATTAATGCTAGAAGCTATAGACTTATCTGAGATGCTACTCACTGTAGCATCTCAGAAAAGATCTTTTATTTTTATAAAAGCTCTTAAAAATTGACATGCCAAACTTATAACTAGAAACTTTTAAAGACTTTTTAAATAGTACAAAAGCTAGAAACTAAGACGGGGACTTATGTTGTCAAACTAAGTTATTAGTCAAAGTTATTTCATTTTTAAGTGGATGCATCGGTGATGGACTAGAAACTAAACTAACATAAATTTTAGGGATAAAAAACAAAAGGTTGTTATTTGAAGAATTGCATGGACGTAAAATAAATTATAGCTTAACAAATGTGGAATAACCGAACACAATCGACAATGTGAAGGCCAAGATCCAGGACGAGGAAGGTATCCCGCCGGACTAACAACGGCTCATCTTCGTCGGAAAGCAGCTCAGGACGGCCGCACCCTTGCTTACTAACACATCCAGAACGAGTCAACTCTCCTCCTTGTCCTACACTAAGCCAAAGAAGCTGAAGCACAAGCACAAGAAGGTCAAGCACGCCGTCTTGCAGTTCTACAAGGTCGATGATTCTAGAGAAATCCTATTTTATAATGCTATTTTAAACAATACTAATAATAATCATGTTTAAAATATTAATACTAAAATATAATACATGAACTTTTGTATACTCCGTATATAATAGTTAAAAAATAATACTCCTTCCGTCCCGAAAATAACTTACCACTTTCCTTTTCGGACAGTCCCGAAATTAACTTCCCACTTCTTCCCACTTCCTCTCTTGACAAATTATCTACATCAAAACAGTGCAAAACAGTGTCAAATAGTGTCTAAACAGTGTCAAAACAATAAAATTTACTCCCAGTAAATTTATTTCCTTAATATGTACTCGCTCTGTCCCAAAATTATCTTCATAGTTACTATTCACATGGTCAACTCAAATTACTCTTAATCTTTTACTTTATATATCAAACTTTTATCAAACTTAAATTTTCTTGATCAGACTTTGTAGCGAATTTAATGTAGTTTCTGAATATGTAAATTTAATTTACTAAAAATAATCTGAGTGTGAACGGGGATCAAATTAATTTATCGTCAGTTAAACATCATAAACCGAGCTATGAAGATAAATATGGGACGGGGGAGTATGAAAACGAAGTGAGAAGTTAATTACGAGACAGAGCGAATACTTCATACTATTTTAGAATATTTTTATATTTGTGTGTGCGTGTGTGTGTATACAAAATAATAATAGTGATTATATAAAATAATGGTTAATGTACCTATCAATAAGCAAAAAGCTAAGTTACATTCATGTATATTTGCATCTGTATCATTAGTAGTCATTTTGCATCTTAAGAGCATTCCCAATGCACTTCTTTTGACAAATCAAAACTTTGCCAAATGTCAATTATATAAAATAATGTATATCCATGTAAACTACACATTGAAAGAGTTAAATTAAGGTTCTCCAATGCATAAAGTTCTACGGAACATAAAATCTAGAAACATGGGCAATTATTAATTGACTCGGGCCGGGCCAACCGGCTCGGAACCAGACCGACCCGCTACTGTGCGGGCCCGGACCGGCCCGGTGAACCTGTTGGTTGGCCGGTTCGGGCCACCGACCCGGTGGGATGGCGGTTTGGGCTCGGGCCCTTCAAAAGATGAACCGGCCCGGCCGGTTCGAGCCCGGGCCGGGCCAATTTTTTTTTGAATTTTTTTGATTTTTTTTTAAGTTTTTGGGTTGGGTTGGGTATTTTGGGCCATTTGAGGTGGTTAGGGTTGGTTTGGGGGTGAGGGGGAGGGTTGGGGGTTAACTAGGAAAAGATAAAAAAAAAAAAGAATCGAGGCCCGGCCCAGACCCGGGGTTACCCGAGCCGGTTCCGGGCCTCCCATACCTTGAACCGAGGCCCGGCCGGTTCAAGGCCTGAACTGGGCCCGGCCCGAACCGAGTCCATACCTACCACTGTGCATTCATCAAGCTTATTCTTGAAATCATATTTACCGAGAGGGATTTGGTGCAATTTACCCATAGATTGAGTACAACTTTGATATAAAATACAGAAAGCCTTTCTTTTAATTGTTAAAGAAAATTATGAATAAAAATGGGTGATACTTGAAACTTGAAAGATAGATGATAGATACACATTTTTTAGAATTTTTGAAATGTATATCTGTATCTCTAAAACAATTAAGTGATACACGTGATCTTCACTTTAAATTCTAAAACAATGGCCTATCTATATAAGAAATATAACACCAAAGGAAGAAAAGAGTGCAAATTTATCTTTACCTATTACAACATGATCTTTATTTTTCTATCTAAACAATATAAATGAGAAGATTGATATTGTGATTAGTGAGCAACAAAAAAAGAGAAGATTGATATTGTCTCTAACCGCACAAGCTTTTCAAATGCTTAACCTGAGAAGGCAGTGGTCCATGAACACCCGCAAGCCTACAAGAGTGCTGGGTGATCAGATTATATATGGATTGCCTCTCCCAAGGAACAATCCCGAACTCATCGTTATACTCCTCCATCTTCTCAACAAGGAACTGCCAGAAGACAGACCCAGCCCCTGATTTATTGTGCTTTGCAGACCTGAATATGATTTCAAGAATAAGCTTGAAGAATCTGTCACGTTGAGATGATTCGATTTCCTTGTTCTCATTTGACAATCCGAATTCGGCAAACACGACTGGTCTTTTCAGTCTCCTGTCACCATCTTCAATGTGAGAAAGCATCCACTTCTTCACAAACTTCAATTTATCATCAAAAGTTTGATTATCGGGAAACCTGCCCCCCAAAAAAATAAAACCGCATTGAGAAAACTGAAATTCCAGTTGAAGCAGTTCAAAGGTATTGTATAAGCCTATATGGGTTAACCCATCCTCATAGACAAATCCTCAATAAATTACTTTATTTAATTTGATATTGTATAAGCAGCTAGTTTCCTTGTATTGCAGTATTACTGGACGTGAGGAACACTTACAATAAAGTTTCAAAAAACAGTTGTGTTTATGGATTTAGAAAACTCAAAAGTAGTGCTTTTAAGTTGTTGTTTCAGGTTAACTTTAACTCTTTAAGTGGTTTAAAGCTAAAATGTCTCAGTAGGGGAAGAGTGCTTAAAACAGTTTTTCACTTTTCTTATATTAACAGTTCATAATCAAATAAGTCTGTGTTACCCAACTTTCAACTTCTAACTTTTTTAAAATCATTTTTATGTTTAAACACTACCAGCTTGTAAACACTGTCAACTTTTAGTAATCACTTTCTCTAAAATCACTAAACTAAATAAATAACTTCTCACAAGCACAAGTGCAAGCTGCCTTATTGTATTTGTTATCAATGCCAAATAGGTGTCTTGCTAAGAACCTATTTTGCCCCTAGTTTTTTCCCGTTACTTAATCTGGAAATTATATTTCTCAACTTTCTGGTACATGCTATGAGAACTATTAACCTCAAGTTTTAGTATGGTATAATTTTAAGAGTATTTAATTAAGAGAGATTGAAGTGGTTTAAATAGGCTCCTGCAGAGAGACCTCATCAGTAACAAATAGAATATGTATAGTCCACCAATGCAAGGAAACTGTCTGTAGACAATAAAATCAAATCAAATAATAAATTATATAGATGTACTTGTTTTTTCCTAAATAGGAGTAATTACTGTCGTGTTTGAAAAATACTGCCATTTACTACATTAATATTGTCTAGTAATGCCAAAATACGACAATTTGATCAGGATAACAATAATTTTCTCCTATTCAAGGATTAAAAAAGGAAGCCCTATTTTGGAATTTTTTATTTTTTACGTTTGCTTCGGGGATTTTCCCTATAAAACAATATATAAAGATTCTTTATTCTTAGACTACAATTATTAGCTTCTTTACTATAGAAAAATAAGCTCACCAATGATCTGGATATACGTGGACAGATGCAAAATCTATGGTTGAGAGATTTGAGTTCCGAATAAAATCAGAGCCAAGATCAGAAGCCCAAGATTCAGGATTAACATTCAATCTTTTGGAATCTTTTGGACCATAAAATCCTTCAAGGCCAACCGTTAGCAGATGATTCCTGTCAATTGATTTCACATAAGTTGACATTTCTTCAATCCAGTCCTGCGTAATCTCTAGCTCATAAATTAAAATGTAATATTGTAATCACACAAAAAATGAAATACAAAAACATATAAAAAATCATCAGCGCAAATGTGAAATTTAATATGCTGAGGCCACAGTGATATTATCACGATGACTATTTGACGATGGTAATGTTCAATCTCACATTTTAGTAATCATGGTAAAAGTTTAGCAGTAATTATTGCAATGACAATGTAGTTATATTTTTATCCATCAGTTATATTTAGTATTATTATAGGAAAAACATAATGTATTATTCATTGTACATTTGATGTACTTTAATAGAGATCAAAACTAACTTACTTGAAGGGTGTCACCAGAAGGATCAGTCATGCACCTAGGTTCGTTAATTAATTCCCATGCAAAGACAGTTGGATCATCCCTGTACTCAATTCCAGTAACTGTGTTTTTCCTAGTAAGCACTGTCTGCGAACACAAGATTGAAAACATTGATCTTTGCACAACAATGGCATTATACATCAATATTCTTTTTTGAGTGCACGAATTTATTTATCGTTAAAGACAGACCAAATGAGTTTTTAAGGTCTTGGGTTAGACCAGCAAATGGTTGGATTCGATTTTTTAGTGTAGTTTGAACAATCTGCATTATGTCCCAGTTGGACGACTTCAACCCAATTATGAATTCTACTGAATAGCGTTCTAAAAAGTGTTTGACGACCAGCAGCTGACGTCCATTTTTAGAGTAACGCATTAATGACGCTATATATATCACAACAAAGAGAGGCTGAATTACCGAAAAGGGGTTTACCTTGACATAGTTCTTGAAGTAACCACGGATGATTGGATCGTAAAAGAATGAATCGTTGGAAGAGCTTAAAGCAAGACCTTCTTCCCATGCCCATTTAACATACTGAGTCTTCCCACCGTATGCTTTGAGATTATTTACCAAACAGAGTATCAGCCTAATCCCATTTTTCCTGGCTTCAGCTATTACATGGTCCAAGGCCTGCAAATTACGCATCTATGAAGTAAAGCTGGAAGTTCAAATACACTTCAAGCAGTGGAAAAACAATTAGAACATAATTTGTTCAGACATGTAGAACTCCTAATGACATGTTTGGATGAAGTGCTTTGGGAGATTTTCCTGATAAATATAATTTCCTGAAAACAGAATGAAGGGAAATTGAAATTTTGTAATTTGTATTTTCCTTTTTATAGAACCTCAAACATACATCAAACTATACACTTAACCCTCCAAAACCCAATATTAAGGATCTCTGAATTGTGTACCATACATGATATGATAGTATTGGACTTCTCAGTTCAGTATTGTTATCTCAACAAATTGTTTCAAGTCGGGATAGGTAGGATTTGGAAAACGAGTGCATGAGATTGTAAATACTAGAGAGCAAAATATTTCTAAAAAAAACAATTCATATTCGGCTAATCCGACTATTCATGTGCTAGATACCATCATAATTAATTCCTTTTAAAAAGGAACATAAAAAGAATTACAGTTATCAGATATTCAAATCAAATACTATTGTTCTAAATTCTAACTTACAGGAAAAAATACGTATAGCGAATTATCGTACCCTAAATACCCTTTCATCGAATTTCCCGGGGGAAATCTGAAGAGCATTATATGCACCATCATTGAAGGCCCAAGTTCTGCATACAGTCAGTCCCATCTTAGCACCAGCTTGAAGCATGGTGCTAACTCTTGATCTCCTATCCTGATCCACAGCGTGGTCCATCAACCAGTAAGAGTTCCAACCGTTAAAATAGAAGACCCGGCCATCTGCCAAGAACTGGGTCCCATTCCGCTCCACAAAAGTCAACTGTGTTGCTCCATGAGATTTCATCCAGAAATCCCCACAAGACAAGTATACAAGAAAAGCAAGAAGCAACCCGAATCCAACAATGGGGTAAAACAGGTCATTTCTCGCTGCCATTCTGATTCTGCGTGTTTTATTTTTAACCATCCGATTGGCATCAGAAAAGGGTACATTAGTGAACCAAATTAAAGAAAGTGATGGTGAAGATAGGATATAAAGATTGAATCTTTAAATGTCGGGTCTGTTCAGCTTCTCAAGATTTCTAGGAATTCCGAAGGATCACACATGCAGATCTCCTTTCACCGAAGAGTACATACAGTTCATATGACTTTGAATACTTGGGAGGGAACAAAAAGTGCGATGATCATCAAGAAGGGTTCAAAAACCAAATACCCAGATCGAACTGCAGAAAGGTAGCATATTGTGACTGTGAAGGACTGAAGGAGAGGAGAGTGTTGAGGGATGAGACAAATGAGAGGGTATGAATTAGGGGAAGTGGTCAATAGTTCAATACCTAAAAAGGGGAAGAACTCAAGGGAAGCAGGAAAGTATGTAATACTCTCCACTTTGCCATATTTTTTTTAGAGTCCCAAAACTTTTTTACACTTTCCTTTTTAATCAATTATTTTGTGATTTCTGTTATTTCTCTTTCTCTGTCTAAACCCCAACCACACAATTTTTACTTTATTATTCTCTGTGTCGGTCAACTCTCACAAAGTTTTAGGAAGGGAGGTAGTACCTAACTTGCATCCCCCTTGAAGATGAGACAAAAAAGAATAAATAAAAGTTAAGGACATGAGTATGACTTATTAACTATTTTCTTAATAATAGTAGGACCAAAAGTAGAATATTCAAAAATAAAATAGATAAGTCTCTTTCTGTATTTAGCATACATTTTTGGTTGTATTGCCGCAAAGAAAAATCCCTAATTTCGTGTGATTGACACCACAAATCTTAATAACGTTTTTAAAAATTTAGTCATTTTAAAGAAGGTACACTAATTGTGAGAGAAAGTTTGTAGCTTTTAATATTAATTAGTTAAAAGAGCTTTTTATATCAAACATAACTAAATTAAACAATAAGCTTTTATCGAATAGCAACAATTTTTTCATTACGAACCCCTTAGTAACTGAAAACTAATAATTATTAAAAAAGATAAAACGTATACTCAGCTAGTTGTTCAAAATATCCCTAGACACTTAGATTAGGGAGACAAATGCATAATCATGTGTAGTGTTGGACTCGGTTCAGGCCCGAGGACCGACCCGGCATTAAAATCAATATTGCAAATGTCAAAAGCGGGCATTAAATATATGTAGCACCTTTTAATCATTAATTTACATGGATTCCAAAGAGAGGGAGCGTGATTTATGTTTGCAACACCAATTGCGCCTCCCCAATTTCTCCCACATGATTAGGGATTGATTCGGGCCGGGCCGGGGCCGGGTCAAGCCTAGGCCCGGGGCGGGCTGGCGGTTCAGAGTAGGTGGACCTGGGACCGGCCCGGGTAGCCACCGGGTCCGGTCCGGGTCCGGGCCGGGCCGGGCGGGGCCTCGGTTCTTATATTTTTTTTTGGCTTTTCCTAATTAACCCCCAACCCTCCCCCCTCACCCCCAAACCACCTCAAATGCCCCATCATACCCAGCCCAACCCAAAAACTTAAAAAAAATCAAAAAAAAAAAAGAAAAAAAAACTTTGACCCGGACCGAGCCCGAACCGGTCGGGCTGGTTCACGTTTTAGGAGGCCCGGGCTGGTCCGGGCCCGCACAGTTGCGGGCCGGTCCGATTCCAGGCTGGTTGGCCCGGCCCAAGTCCACTCCTAGAGGAGGTATGAGGGGTTTATATGACAAATTGGAGGCTCTTAAACAATCTCTTAAACAGTGGAATAAAAGCAGTTTTGGAAATATTTTTTCTGATATCAAGAAATTGGAGGAGGAGGTTATTGAAGCTGAAAAAGTATTTGATGTTGATCCTTCTGATATCAACAGAGATAACAGGTCTTTTAAAAACATATAAAAAATACATTGTAGTTTAAAAAATCGTAAAATTTTATGATCTTTCATAAATCAAAATTCGTAAAATTTTATGATCTTTCATATGACACCAAATTACATATATATAAACTATTGTAGCAATTGAGTAATTAATCAATCATATATAATATCTATAGTAAAATTTTAGTGTGAATGTGAATAATGAGAAATGCACATTTACACAATAGCCGTGACACATATAAGTAATCCAATTTTCATTAAATATTGAAATTTATTATTTTATTTAGTAAAACATGATTTCAAACTACTAACATATATGTCACTCTTATATTGGTTAACAAAAATTCTATTATCTTTATTATGAAATCATTTAATTAGTTCCAAACAAAAGGAGATGAATCAGCTATAATGGAAAAGGGAAAAAAAATTCGATGGAAAACATTAAATAACCTAGTAATAACTAACACTTGACATTATATAGGCTCCACACATTGAAATATTTAGGGAAATTGCCCTAAATAGGAGTAAATAAGTTTGTCTGTTCCAAAACAAGATTATCATGTTTTTATTTCTGAAATATGACTAATTATTGTAATGTTTTGGCCGTACCAGATTTTAAACATGACAGTATTTTCCAAACGTGGCAGTAAGTAGTCCTATTTAGGGAATAAAAACATGGTTGTCCTATTTTGGAATTCTCAAACGTTTTTAGTCCTATTTCGGAAATTTTTCCAAAGGTTTAATTTGTTCGTAAAGGAGATGGAACAACTAATGGAAAAGTCTAGAGAAAAACTAGGAAAAACGTAAAAAGCATATCCTTAGAAACTATTCAGTTACTCTTATTCTTATTCGTATTGTTTACTCCATATTACCGATTCTTACTTTATCCAGACCAAATTAGACAAAAAGTCAAATCATATATTAGACCAAAACATTTAAACCAGATTAGATTAAATCAGAAAAATTGAGATCAGATCAGAAACACTAAAATCAAATCAGAAAGGTTCAAACATAGTTTATTACTTTTACTATTATGATGAATCCAATCTAATTTAAATATTTCTCTAGGTTATTATTGTATGTTGCTTCTATTAAAATTAATTATGAATACTATTAAAATGTTATTTGTATGTTATTGTTATTCATAAAACAACATATATTATTACTATGTTTGATCAATTATAATATTATTATTTAACTATATTATTATTAATGTATTTTTATTGTTTATCAGTATTTATAAGTGACTATTATTATAAAAGTGTACGTTGTTGCTATCTGTAGTATAATTACTCCGGGGTATAATAGTAATAATTTAATTACTCTGGGGTATTGATAACACTTATTATGATGATAATCGTAACTATAAAAATAAGGATAACTATAACAACAATAATATGATATTATAATTATAGTTACACTTATAATTGTAATTATAATTATATTTATAATTATATTTATAATGATAATTATAAATATAATTATAAATATGATGATAAAAATGACAATGATAATCATAATTATAACTCAAAAATATTCCTTCAAAAAAAACTTAATAATACAAATAATACTCAATCACATAAAAAAATATTTAGATCAGATCGGATTATTTAGATCAGATTAAAATCAGAAAAAACTTAGATTAAATTTGAAAGATTTCGATGAGATCCGAAAAAATCATATCGTGGGATCATACAAGATCACACTAGATCTTAAAAAGTTTCAAATCATAAATTTCATATCAGGCGTATTGAACAAGTTCTTAATATCAACCATATTATTGCAGTATAATTCTTGGAATCAATACCATATCAATTCAGTTTCCAAAATAATTGTACATCAAATTCTTTGAATAACAAGACTCTAATACACGTAGTAGAACTACAATAATACTTCCTCCGTCCCGCAATTAAGTTACCACTTTCCTTTTTGGGGAGTCCCTAAATTAAGTTCACACTTTATTACTTTCCTTATTTGGCAAATTATCTACATCAAAACAGTGTCAAATAGTGCAAAACAGTGTCAAACAGTGCAAAACATTGTCAAACAGTGTCCAAATAGTGCACTCCACAATAAAGTCAAATTTATTTTCTTAATATGTGTAAAGTCAAACCAGGAACTTAATTGGGGTTCTAATTCAAAACCATTTTTTTAATAATAGAACTTTAATTCACGTGGACGAGACTCTAATCTTACATTATCAATAATACACGTGAATATCCGAAATAATATAATTTATAAACTTCACATATTCTCAATTCCAATTCAACACTTCTTCTTATTATTCCTCATCATATAATTAGCCCTATAAATAATTAATAACTACTAGTATCGTACCCGTGCGATGCACGGGACAAAATATATTGATATTTTTTTTTAATTATGCTATATTAATTTTTAATGATCCAATATTAATGTAAGACATTATTTAAGAACGTTGAAATATAGTTGTGATAAAAAAGAAATATATGTTTATAAGTGATTACTCTAAATGCATATATATAAAATATAGAGTACATTACAAAAGAAACTACATATTCCGAAAAACTTCTAGACACAAAACATATATTAATATTATTTTGCGCATGGTGACGGAGCTTTTAGATGTGTCTCCAATCTTACGCGAAGTATGCTTTACTTTAAAATAATCCATGCATTCTACGCAATATTAAAATCCATATTTATTAGAGAGAAAGTAAAGACTTATTTTTTTTCTACTCCAAAATATAACTATATAATAAGTCAACAGTACATGGCACATAGTATCAAAGTATTATGGTTTAGTAACGAAACATAGTTAAATTACATTATACAAAAAATTAAAACACCCTTAAAGAAAATGAGAAAATAATATTCTTTTATATCAAATAAATATACACTTAATTGGACAACTAATTGTAGATCGTTAAATATAAATTAGTTCGATTTTTTAAAAAATATTTTACTCCGTATATAAAATAGGTCATAGTGTAATAAATGTAACTTAATTTGCTATGACATCTTTTTTATAAAGAATCAAAAAATGAAACCAACTTTGGACTACAACATTTGTTACAATAATTTAGTAAACATATTCTGGACTGCCTCCAACTCTCCAAGCCCATACACAGTCTGGTCCAATTCTACGCAAATCCTAGGCCTCTCTATATACACAAAGATACAGACAGGCTCACTCCACTCTCAGTCAGATTCTCCAGAACATCCCTGTCTCTCCGGCTTCACATCCTCTCAGAACTCTACACCATCTCACGCTCCCGGCCTTCTATCCGTCAACATCTTTTCGTTCGTCCACTTAAAGGTCGGAAGCATATAGGTCTTTCTTCCCATCCCCGTCTCCCCCTTTATGTCCAGGCGTAAACATCAGATAAACCACTGTATCTGCAAATTTTCTCCCGTACACCAATTTGGTTAGTCCTTTGAGGTATTACTGTTTTATTTGTCATATCTATTTATTTTATACTTTCAAACTCTCTACGTTGTTACTTCTCCTAATTTGTTGCATATTTCTTGACCAACTTATACATCAAGCTTGCAAATCAGAAAAAGATGTTGCCT